TCGAAATATTACTACGCTTTGTGCTAGCTGATAAAAACACCGACTCCTGCACGATGTGCGCAATGATGTATGTCCGAAAGAAATAAAAGTAGTTACCACCAGACATTATTATTGCATCACTGAGTGAGAATGCCTCATTCGAGAAAATGGCTCACTGAGGAAGACCTGACTCGACACGAAGGCGAAGCCGCAACGTCCAGACGAACAACAGGTTTAGACCATCGACTTGGATCATTGGCTCTGAGGAAGACGAAGGCGTCGAAACGTTAGCCGAAAGTGAAAAAATATCATTATCAATGTTTAACGTTTTTGTTTTCTGCCTTCAATAATTTTCATGGCAGTTTACTAAGCGAAATAAAACCACAACGTTGCTGAGATATTTACAAAACTCTGGACCGCAAATGTCTATGGTGAGGAACGAACGCGCTATTATCCTTTCCGGGGAGCTGTCTTCCTTCTTCTGTATGATTCCTCCTTCATATTGTTTTCAACGTCTACTGATCGCTTAACGTAGATGTACGAGGTGCTTTCTTCGATCAGACAACCATATAGTTGGATTTATTCGTCTTCGCACCATGGGTGTTTCTCGAACCGGATCTCCTTCCGATTTATAGGTAGTGCAATCTTTTTCACGCAAATGTATTCGTTTCGAGGCTGTCGTTCGCTTTTCATGGTTGACAACGGTTGGAACTAGAGGAACTTCAGGCCGCTAAAAATCTCAGCTAAATTGGTACTGAGTCACCAGTACAAGGAGTTATGAAATTATAAGTAGGAGCAAACTGTTAATGAATCACACTCAGTAAGGGCCTGTTATAACAAACCTTGCACCAATCGCCATTCGGTCGATGTTAGCAAAGAAAAAACTAGCCAAACCTATAGTTTCGGAAAGAAACTGCGCTGCGCTGTCTTTTCGTTATTCGCAATAAGGACGCTTCATATATTTTCTATATTTAACAAAATTTATGATCTATATATAATTAATTGTATTGTTATCTATGTATAGCTAACTATAAGAAATACGTTTTCCATAATTCAGAAATGCTTTCCTTGTATCCATTTTAAGCTAGCTTTGCTTATCGTGATTTTAGGAGTTCTGTCCTAAGTCATGCTGTCCTATAGACGATATCTTGCAGAGATTTATTTAACAATTCTGTTTAGCTACCACTCAACGATCACTCAAACATGTAGGAGTGGCAGTATGTATGGCTACATCTGTAAGGATACCACAGCACCACTGAATTAAAGTTTAGCGCTTGCCCTCCTTCAATGCTTATTACTCATAAACTCGTTATCGTTTTATAAACTTCGGAACCTCTAATTTCCCGCATGCCACACATTTGTGCGGCTGTAAGGTTAGAGATTAATTTTCTATCGAGGTAGTGATCAAGGGTTTTGAGAACGCCGTCCGAAAACAGGCGGAATTTTATGTCAACTCCATCGTTAGGGTCCTGCTGTCTAAAAAACGTTTTAGGGAAAGGAGATGGTGGTAGTGCCGCTGCCTCTTGATTTTCATCTCTACTTGATGTTTCTTGCCTGGCCTGATAACGCGGTCGATCTTGAAGCTCATAAAGGTTGCATGCTATACTACGCAGGGTCGTTTTAGAAATGGGCTGTGATGGTTCAACACTTGGGCCCAATTCTAATAGCGAGCGCGCATTCTCACGTATTGTTATCACTCGAGTATCCATGTATCCATGTATGTATCCATGTTTCCGTGTATGTATGTATGTATGCATGTATGTATATATGCATGTATGTATGTATGTATGTATGTATGTATGCATGTATGCATGTATGTATGTATGTATTTATGCAAGTATGTATGCATGTATGTATGTATGTATGCATGTATATATGTATGGCCCAGATATCTAATTCTCTCAGGGGCGTGCTTTAGGGTACTCAGATATCCAGCGGAAATTTTTTTCTTTTCGAGAAATAAACTTTCGTAAGGTTATGCTGTGGGTGGGAATGCGATAAGACGGCTTCTATTCTTATTGTATTCCCTTAATTTATACCATTTTTTCCATTCATAATATGTGCTAAGAGAATATACTTTTAAAGAACGACTAGCATCGACGGCGACACCATGTTTAACGGTGAATCGGTGTTCACAAAAACAGAACAGAGAAAGAGAGATCTGTGACCGTACTGACAACCAAATTGTGCACTTAGTTAGCAATAGCATCTTAAAGATACTTACCTAGATACCTCGATGGAGTGCCTTCACTGGTTGTGCGAATCGCGGTGTAATGCCGATTGCTTTGGAGCTTTGCTTGTTTACTCATTGTGGTTCTCCGGAGTCCTGAGGTCAACCAGACCAAATTCTGCTTCTTATTGAAGGAAAATACCTATAGAGAACATTCGTCACGGTTATTGGAATGTTCTCTATGTTAATCAATTCTAACCTTTCCAAACATTTCAAATGCTTCTCTCATGACCTTCTCTCCATGACGATCTGATAGCCGTTTGTCTAACATTTCGCTGGCGCCTATCGCGTAAAATATCTGCGCTTACGGTCCTAGGCTTTAAATATTGCCCTATCAGATCGCAAAGCTTGAAAAATGTTTCCAGCACCCGTCTTTCTGCCTACTGTAGCCTGACTCCGCCTACTGTAATCTGACTTCGCCCAGCGCAAAGGTATATAAACGGCTCCACGATTAGCTAGCTCATGTCACAGCAATGCTGCTCAGGTCACCGAATTCGTGTCTCACATCCATCTCATGTAGTAAAAGTCAAATGCCAATCTCTTCACTCATAAGCAGCCTGAACACCAGTGATAAGGCTGCGTCTATTCATTACCCGTAACATCGTTGCATTAATTGTGGAGTTGTATTGTTGTAATTGTTGTATAATTATGATAAACGATTTAATTACCCAAGTTTGAGGTGTTCGGCATTGTTACTGCTAATCACAAGATGTCCCGCGTAGCGTACAAAAAGGCGAGCAGATAATTCCGACCGAATTGTTTTAACTACTTGGTATTCCTATATCAACGAGCCGTCTCAGCAATTTCTGGTGCATTGGCTGCTTGAAAGGATCCATCAGGTCAAGAAAGTCACAACCAAGTATGTTAATTCGTCAATCATGTCTAACCTATCACTGGAAAGTTACAAACGGATTCTCACGCGGTATACTAACCAATTGCAAAATGTTCTAACCCGATTCAAAGACGCACAGTTAGAAGAAATCAGCATTCAAAACCTGCAAGATGACATAACGCCCACCGTTATTCACATAAGCCTACAGCAGTTAGAGAAAGGAGTTGGAGCGTTGGAAAACAAGACCACAAAGATTCAACACGCACTAGATGAACTTGCTACCATGTTCGAAAAGACACACCAAACGTTAGCGAATATTGAAGAAGAATATTGAAGAAGAGATTTACCACTGAACGGCGTCTTTGACACTTGGATGGTGACGCATCTTGGTATTGGTTTACTCTTAACTGGACTTCCTGATGGGAATGCCGATCTGCTTCTCAACTTCGGGTCTTTGTTGGGGTGCTGAATCCACCCCACTTGCACATCGCAACCCCACACCCAGGAGTACCTACCAGCCACCATGAGGCGGTGAACCGTTGAGAGGACACAAGACAGGGGTATAATAATACAGAAATGATCGTTATATGAAACACAATTGGAGGCAGTCTTGGAACCTGACCGAATATGGGTTTGCGTTCGTGGTATAGCAAATACGAATAATGAACCACTGCTTAAGTTTAAGCCTTCGAGCAATTAACGGACTTGCGGTTGTTGAAAACAAATCGGGCGACGCTAAGCAATTAGCGCCGATATCGTATTGTCATGGTCGAAGTGTGGAGGAGCGTGAAGCTGAAACGGTAGAAAAACGGCGAGCTGAAAAGTGCATGTAAGTAGGATGGCAGTTGTGGGTTACTGAATTACTTCGTTACTCTTAGTCTTTACTCCTAGAGAAAAGACCAAGAAATAATTTTAGGTTCTATAAGTTTTTCTACTTGAACTTGGTTTCATATTCGTTAATTCAGCTTTAACATGTGGTTCTCGGAAAATGCTTAGATGCTGATTATATTTAGATGCATGGAGGATACCTTAGATGATCTCGAAACGGCTTCTAGCGCAGACAACACGTCAGCTGAAAACGTGAGCACATTGTTACCTTGGGGCAAGCCTTTGCACTGACCTTCAATCAACTTTGGCGTTGATCAATAATTCCACATTTTCATGATGAGAAGACGCTAGGCTGCACTATTTATCCGTTATCACTACCATCTAGACACTCAGCTACTAAACATTTGCCATAGGAGAGTAATACGTGCTACCCGTGACAACGTTCTCACTAGAAAAGGTGAAAAATCCATCGTAGCAAAATTGTTATGTTCATCATCTTCACCAAGCGCATGGAGTCTAGTGAGCAGCTCTTGTACCTGAAACAGGCGAATGTAGTCCAACTATTTGTTTCATTTGCTTCCATTCTACCATTTGTTGTAAACCCTCTCATTACTGTATTAGTCAGAACTGTGAAGATTGTTAGGAATACAGGTTGTTAATGAGCAACCCACTCTTCAGGGTTTAGTTAGTTTTACACGCTTCAACCAACTTGTAACTTTGTATTTGTTTAAGAAGTCGAAAAAAGAAAAAAAAAGAAAAGCCATAGTTGTAATCACATTCTTAACCTTTTTATTTATTAGCCTCAGCTTAGCTGGGTTCAATGCCGATTTGGAGTGCTCAGATCAATTCCGTTGACGGGTGATTGCTGATCGCAAAAGATCGCTAATCTTGAAATCTTGAGCTACCCACAATCCCTATCTCAACATTCAATGGCGACATATGGGACTGGGACAACCTTTGGGAGCTTTTCAACTTAAATATGCATTCACAAAATCTAACCGAGCTACAAAAATTTAACTACCTGCTTAGCTCCTTAAAGGGTGAACCTCTAAAATCGATGAAGAAGTTTCAACTCACTCGACAAAACTACGAAAAATCCATAGAATTCCTTACTAATAAGTACAGTAATTCTGAAAAACTCATTCGTCAGCTTCTCAGAAAGATGGACGAAATCTTCCTCAACTCATCGTCCATACAAGAGCAACGCAGACTATTGGAAGACTTAGAAGCCATCATAGGCCAATTAGTGCAAGAAAGTAAAAATGTCGACAAACAGTCCACGTATCAAAAGGTTCTTTCAAAATTTCCGGTCGGGATGCAACGTAAATTTCTTCACAAAAAGATTACTTCTTCCGACGAACCCTTTACCATGCAACAGCTTTTAAAGTATTTCGAAGAGGTTATAACCAGCGAAGAACTTATGTGTCGCCTGACCACCTCAACACCTCTTCGAGATACAGTTTGCTTCAACCTACCTTTTCTCACCTATCGCCCCTCACCTTTCGGTGAATAAAGGCAAAAAAATAAAGGCAAATATTAGAAGTCGCCGACGACAAAACTCTTGTGCATGTATTGTAAAGGCGACCATAAGCCTTTCTATTGCAGTAAATACGAAACACTTCAAAGAAGATACCAGTACCTTCAAAATAATAACCTATGTCATATTTGCGCCTCTTCATCCCACAGCACAGTTCAGTGCAACGGGTTGTAATGTCGTAAGTGCCAGAAACGCCACCACACATGCTGTTTCTTTTCAACACCAAAAGAGAAAACGTTCGTGAAACTTACGAAGAATGCGAACGCCAAAAACGAGGCCAACGTTAGTAAACATAAAGACAAAAAGCATAAAAAGCCCACTTCTATGACCAAAATAAATCACGTCGGACAAGTGACACCGGTCAAAGACAAAATTTCGACGAAATCCAGCACAAAACTGCAGCCAACCTTTCTACCCACAAAGGAATTGACTGTAATGAACCCAACCACAAAACAATTAGAGAATGTTTCCGTCTTACTAGACACGGAAGCTAAGTTATCCTTTATCGATGAGAATCTTGCACAAAAGCTCTATCTACCGACACGGCTAAACACATTCGGCTCAAACAATGTGCAGGAATGCGTTTCACGAAAAGTCCCATTACAGGTATGGGACGCGGACGGCCATCAAATATCGTTATTCTTGTTCAAACATAACGCGATAACGAAGCCTTTCAAACCACCACCAATTTGTCCAGAAGACATAGACTTTATAGTAAAAAACAACCTCCAAATTGAGATAAGTAAAACCAGGCCCGTGGTCCAACCTGCCATTCTACTCGGATGCGACCAACTGTGGACCCTGATGAAAAACGATAAACCGCACATTGAACTACCATCCGGGTTGCATCTCATCCCAACACGTTTAGGTCATTTATGTAAAGGACAACTAAAAAGTCCTTCTATGCTACAAAAAGAAAATGATAACGCGTTGTTACAAGTACAACACAGCAAAGAAGGAAACACATCGCCCACATAGGAATTTAAGGATGAACTAGACAGATGGGATCAATACTGGGCACTACATGTGCAGGTCGATGAGGATCTAATGAATAAGCGTAATCAACATCGGATACTGGAATGTCAAGTCCATGCTTGCCCTATTGAAGATTCAGAGACGGAGGAGAACGAAGCAGTCAAATGGGAACAATTTTGGACCCTCGAATCTGCCGGAGCAGAAGAATTCACGAACTCCACAAAAATGGAAAAAACACTAAAGGAAAAGCAAGCATAGCGAACCTTCAAAAAAACTATTGAAAAAAGGTTAGACGGATATTACGTTCGTCTACCTTGGAAAGACGTTCAGCTATCATTACCCGATAATAGAGCAGTTGCATTCAATAGACTCATAAGTGTTTGGGAATCCCTACAAAATAACAAAGATCTGCTTGATAGGTACAATGGCGTAATCAAAGAACAACCCCGCCTGCACATCCTTGAGAAAATCAACGAACAGGAGTCGCCACAAAGCTCCCGAGTTTATTACATTCCTCACCAAGTAGTCTTAACTCCCAATAAAAACACCACTAAGATTACAATAGTTTATGACGCATCAGCACACTACAAGGGATGACCATCACTCAACGACGTCTTACACAGAGGGCCAGTGATCCTCTCACAATTGTTTGGAATCCTTCTACGCTTTAAAATCGGACGAATTGCGATTACATCAAACATCGAAAAAGCCTTTCTGCAAGTCCGACTCCATGAGGACGATCGAGATGCCACACGATGTCTTTGGCTACATGATCACAGGCTACCACCATTTCCGAACAACATTAAAACCCTACGATTTACTAGAGTATTTTTCGGATTAAATACACCACCATTTCTTTTGGCCGGAACAATACATTTTCATCTTGATCAATATAAAGAAGAAGCAGAATTAGTAACGCAAGTTAAAAACATCTTATACGTGGAGAACCTTGTCGTAGCCCTCGATGACCTCGAAAAAGCATTCTAGAGCTACCTACGCACAAAACAAATATTCAATGACCTTAACATGAATTTACGCGAATTCGCTTCCAATAATATTGACCTAATGGCAAAAATACCCTCCGAGGATAAAGCGGACACCAAATTACCGAAACTACTGGGAATACCATGGAAAACCGACTCCGACTGTCTGCTGATAACATGCATGACAACAACAAATCAACGTATCACTAAGCGAACGGTGGCTATCACATTAGCATCGGTATACGACCCCATGGGCTTCCTAACACCTTTACTTCATAAAGCAAAGGTATTCCTACGCAGCCTATGGAAAGACGAGTACAGTTGGGATCATGTCCTACCAGATTCCTGCAAGGACGAATGGATAGCCATATGCACGAAAATGCAAGGCTTTACAAAACCTCTACCACGTTGCTTGGGAACAAAAAATACAAAATACATTCTAGTAACCTTCGCCGACGCCAGCGTTGAATCTCTGACCACTTGCATTTATCTACGCTCCGAAAATTCAACTAATCTTCTCATGGCAAAAAACAAACTGCTGTCTCTAAAATCTTTATTAACCGTTCTAAAAATGGAGCTGGATGCGGTAACCATAGCTATGCGATTAACCAACGCCGTACTGACTCAACTCCGAGGAACCTTAGAAATCCAAGGAAATTTCTTCCTTTCGCACTCGGAGATCGTACTTAGCTGGATAAAGCGCAAACAACAAGAGAACGTTGGACTCAGAATATTCAACAGACTACTGAAAATCGAGAGGCTCGTCGACCACATACAAATGAACGGTTATCGCATACTTTCCGGTCAAGTCCCATAACGCTATGACACAGCGGACTGTGCAACCCGTGGTGTTAGCCAGAAGGAATCGCTCGACAACTTTTGGTGGGCCGGACCACCTTTCCTCCAAGAATTCCCAGACAATTGGGAAATCCTTTGCAACACTTTCAAACACAACGAATGCTCTTTGGAAAAGGGCACAGAACTTCACAATAATCCGGTAGGCACGATATCCCAGGAATTTCTTCACGAAGAACAAAAACTGTTTTCGCAAAACACAACCACTCAGACAAATAGAACGGAAACGATATCTTTACCCCATTAGGAAAACACTCCCTGACAAATGTTAAAAGAATCGTTGCAGTTGTTAAACGCTTCATTCAAATCTCAGTCGCCAAGGTGAACATTCGTAGACAACACCGTATCAAACTTTCCACACTTCTAAGTACCACGGACGTCAACCTGAATTTCAACAACTCTGGCGAAGAGATTACTATAGCCGAAAAAGCATTAGTCAGACAGCATCAGTTGTCGACAGTAACCACGCCTATGCTCCAGTCTATGAGGTATCTCAACGTCAAACCAGACAAGGAAGGTTTGCTCAGATGTTTTGAACGGCTACGAAATAACGATTTAATCAAAGATGCCAAAACCCCTTGGCTTGTATTTCAGAATACTTGGCTTGCAAAAGCAATTATAGTGGTCACAAAAAAGGACACCCAGGCATTACTGGATTCCCAAACGACGTGCTCAAGTAACACGAATCCTCAGTAGATGCGTGCCATATCAATGCTTCAACAACCTACCATAAAAATCTCCAGAAAAAAGCGACTTACCTAAGCAGAAAGTCCAAAAATCACGACCTTTCAAGCACATTGGTATCAACTACTTTGGTCCAATAATAATTATTCAATCAGATTCTGCCTAATACGCCATTAACTACGCTCGTAGATTTTAGTAGGCCTCTTATCGCGAAAGTAGTAGGTGTGGATCCGCATGAGACCGTACATTTTTCGTCTATTCTGGCGTGTCTGAAGCTAAATTGGAGTGTTGAGTGTTGTCCGTCGTTGCTGCATGATATTGAGAAGGTCGCTGAAGGGCACATTATTTCTGCTTGGATAGGTCTTGTTGATTTGCATCGCACCTGTGCTTTCGATCCTTTGTGGCAGCGATAACATCCCTGTAGTATGGTATCGGTATAGTACATATATCTTTATCTACCACGATATTGGTTTCAAGTTTATTCTGAATGTTCAGGATTATTTCTGCTGTTGTCATGCTAAAGATTTTTGCAGTGATTTCTCCCTCTTGGTTTTGTTGGAACGATATCGAAGGGAGAATTATCGGCAACCTATTTTGCACGTTGTCTAACCATGATGCGATTTTTACATCTTCACATCTGCAATTAGTCTTTGTTTCAGCTGGATAGCAGATGCAATCACTTTCCATCGAGCAGTTAAGGTTTTCAGCTGCTGCTTGTTTGCACATCTAAGCAGTGGCGTTATGTGGGAGTTCCAGATTGCTGTTCGCTTTGCGTCGAATATAAATAGTGTGGTGTTGAGTTTTGGAATAGGTCGCATTGTTATGGAGCCAAGTGTGAGCGTGAAAAACTGGTGTTTGAATGGAATGTTCGGTTGTTGCGGCGTAACGTAGGACTGCATTGTTCTCTGAATAGCGTTGAAGTATGTGTTTTCCACTTTGGCGGATTCTTTCCAGCGATTACAGTGGAAGATTTCGTAGATTGCTGAAGACGTTGGGGATATGTAAATGTGGTAGAGTAGGCAACCAGAGCTCCAATAAAAGCAGTCACAACCTGGACCTCCACAAGGCTCAACGCAGGCCGTTATTTCTGGGTATTTATTTCCTATTGCAAGTTCTGGTGTGAGACTTGTGGCATTTATTCCTGCGCACTTCTCCCCTTTACATGATCCTGTGTGCGGACATCGCTTGCTGTCGATGACGTGGTGCGCGGTATCTCGAGTAAATAAGTCCGTTTCAGGTTCACACGTTAGTGTTAATGACTTCCATTTGATTCTTATTTCGTGTAGTGATGTTTCGTTGTGGAGTAGTTTAAAGCAGGCATCTCTTGTGAAACGGTTGATTTTTAAGACTTCGGAGAGTTGGACGTCGCAAAATTGCCCTCTCTGTTCTTGCCTGCAGAGTGTTGCTATGTGGGAAAAGAGATTTACCTGTTAGCAACCGTTACATATGAGCGCAAGTGGCACTGCGATCAGTATTAGTTTGCTGAGTTTAATGTTGTGATGCGTGGAGCGAGGTCTTCTGATTTTTCGATTCAAGTTGGTAATTGCCAATCGTATTGCATACCAAATAAAGCGAAATATTACTAGTATTGGTTTTCTGAAAGTGAGTGGTACGTATAGCAGTACGTAGCAGCCGGTAATAATGCAATAAATGGCAATTGCTGATGCCAGTATTGCACCTGTTGGCCAGCATTCGGGATTGAAAATTAGCTCCGCGCATAGTACACAGTTGAGGTGTTCGCAGAATGGTGATGGTGGGCATGTTTTTTCAATAATATCGATTGATTGATTATCAGCGAGTTTTAATTGAAGTTTGTGCTCGTGAAGAATTATATGCTGTGGAAGACTGACTATCTCTTTGGATTCTGGTGTTTCTAACGTTTTACAGTAACCGTCTGCACATACCTGGTAAGGAGTGTTGCCAGGAGAAGTGAGTTGTATTCCTCCTTTGATGCACTTTATATGGCGGATGTTGGTATGCCGGTTCGAATTTGCTGCTGAGCATTGACCCAAAAGAGTTAATAGGGATAGAATGTTAAGGATCAGTGAAATATTTGGAATTGTTGCTAACGAGGGACTGAGAAGTTTGTTACAATCGATTCGTTGCTGGCGTCGTAAGTTCTATGTTCCTGTCCGCTTTCTGGGAGTTGCTTCTGTGACTGCTTTTGTGTTGTTTCCTTCCATTGGTAATTCGTGTTGTCTAGTTGGTTGTGGAGCAGCTGTCTCGAGTTGCTGGTCGCATTGTGTTAGCTGTAATGAAAGTTCATCTAATTCCAATGGAGTTAAAAGATTGAGTGGCCGGCGAATTAGACGGTGTTATGGGAGTAGAATAACGGCTTTCTGTGCGATGCCTTGTGAATTCTTGACGGGCTCCTTAATTCTGCCCATCTTCCACGAATATCGAGGTTGCGCAGGGCCGTTGATTAAAACTAGATTGCCCTCTTTAGGCGTATATTTCGAGCTTCTTTGTGTGGAAGTACTCTGATGCTTTTCCCGCAGTGATGTTAGGTAGCAAGATTTCCAAATTGTTCAAAATTTTTCTGTTACTCTGCAGGATGAAAGCCTTGATGACTTGTTCTTTTGTTCGCAGTAGGACTTTCTCATTTGATGGAAGATAGGGGGGGGGGCCGCATATTTCGTTGGGAATCTCATCTAGTGCCGCAAAAATTTCGAAGTCTTTTTGAAGGTAGTCGATAGGTCAAAGAGTTTCTTCTCGTGCGTGTTGCGATTCTACGTATAACAGTGGCCTCGTATTAAGGAGTGATTCGAATTCTATTATAACTGTTGTTAGCTTCTCCGTTGAGAGCTTTCCGGTTTTCAGAGTTTTAAATAAGGAGTGTTTTACTGATTTGATGAGCCTTGCGTAAAAGCCCCTTTGCCATGGGGCGAATGGAGTAATATATTTCCACTGTATTTCACGGTTCGCAACTGTATGTTTTACTTCTGGATCATTTCGTATGGATTTGAGGCCTTCATTGAGAATGGTTATGGTTTCCGCTAGTACAAATGTTGGCGCGATGTCACGTGTAATTGACGCGGGCGTTCCTCGTCTGGCGAACAATCGGCGTAGGAACATGAGGAATGAGGTAGTTGTGAGGTCGGAGACGATGTCAAGGTGTATTAGTCTCGTCACTATACACGTTATTAGTGCTTCATATCATTTACCTTCGCAGAATCTGATTGAATAATTGTTATTGGACCAAAGTAGCCGATACCAATGTGCTTGGAAGGTCGTAATTTTTAAACTTTCTGCTTAGGTAAGTCGCTTTTTTCTGGATATTTGTATGGTAGGTTGTTGAAGCGTTGATATGGCACGCATCTACTGAGGATTCGTGTTACTTGAGCACGTCGTTTGGGAATCCAGTAATGCCTGGGTGTCCTTTTTTGTGACCACTATAATTGCTTTTGCAAGCCAAGTATTATGAAATACAAGCCAAGGGGTTTTGGCATCTTTGATTAAATCGTTATTTCGTAGCCGTTCAAAACATCTGAGCAAACCTTCCTTGTCTGGTTTGACGTTGAGATACCTCATAGACTGGAGCATAGGCGTGGTTATTGTCGACAACTGATGCTGTCTGACTAGTGCTTTTCCAGCTATAGTAATCTCTTCGCCAGAGCTGTTGGGATTCAGGTTGACGTCCGTGGTACTTTGAAGTGTGGAAAGTTTGATACGGTGTTGTCTACGAATGTTCTGTTGCTAGGTGATAAAAACACCGACTTCTGCACGATGTGCGCAATGATTTATGACCGAAAAAAATACAAGTAGTTACCACCAGACATTATTATTGCATCACTGAGTGAGAATGACCCATTCGAAAAGATGGCTCACTGAGGAAGACCTGACTCGACACGAAGGCGAAGCTGCAATGTCGAGACGAACAACAGGCATGGACCATGGACTTGGATCATCGGCTCTGAGGAAGACGAAGGCGTCAAAACGTTAGCCGAAAGTGAATAAATATCATTATCAACCTCGTGTAAGCTCATCAAAGAAAGAATACACTCCTGTCAACGTTAACGTTTACTACGGCAAATAGTCAAAATGTTGGAATGCTTAGATAGCGAACTAGGGCGATGTGAATTTAACCAGTTACGAAGGAGAAAATAAGCTCAGTGCCATCGGTATAATGCCAGGCAAATTTATCAGATTTTATTAGAGTTGAGGTAAATCAGAATTATTTTGGAGCTCAAACTTTCATTTCTTTGATCACACAACCTGACCAGTATTTTTCGGGAATTCATCGACACCAGAGGTCAATAGTTGCATGTCAATGCGTAATGGGATAAAGTTTCTGATAGAATTCGAGACGAATTTTTCTCTTATTCGAAAAAATCGAACTGTGCTTGATCCAAATAAGCACACGGCACAACAACGACATGAGAAATTGGCTAAGAAGAACCTCCAGTGAGCAACGAGAGAAATGATTATCCGCTGAAGTTTAATACGTGCATCCCATTCTGCAGTTGAATCATCGTGGGAGGGGCACATTAAGCTATCCGTGAGTATATCCAGCACAACGTTCAGAGCCTAGCAAGCAATACGTGAGTATCAAAATGCTAACCGCAGTTGAAAAACCGGCTTCATTCGTTTGAGCCCGACATAGCCCCCAATTCGGCATAGTTGGGTTGGGTGAGCACGAAGAGGCTACTAAAATCTAAGGATCACGAAGAACTACGGCGACGATCTGTACCTTCAATGCACATACACTTCCATCCGAGTCTCCGATAGAAGACTAGCTCTTGCAAACAAGAAGGATGAGGTGCGACGTCATTGGCCTTTTCTAAACGCGGCCACACCACCCATTCAACGCCGTCTATGACAGCGGAGAAGAACTCTTTATCAGAACATGCGACAGTAGAGGATTCAGCGGCGTCAGAGTTTTCGTGTACACGATAGACAGGAAATTTCAAAACCTCCATGGAGTATTCACAATTCTACAAGGATATTAACGCTGACGTCAAAATAGGAGTTACGCAAGGCCATACCATCTCACGAAAATTATTTACAGTCACACTTCACAACGTCAAGCGAACATTGGAATGGGATAATATGGGAGTGAAAATCGATGGTCGGCAGTTACACCATCTTCGCTTTGCTGATGACACCGTCCCTACAATAGCAACCATTAGCCAAGCGGAACGTATGCTTGCCGCCATAGATAGAGCCTGTGAAAAGAGTGGTCTTCAACTAAATCTCACAAAAACGATGCTCATCAAGAACGGACTGGTTTCGTGTGCCCTATTCACGCTTAATGCATCTTGGAGAGATTTCAAGAAGATAGAGGATGCAGTGAAGAACATTCGACTCCGTGCCCACCTTTTCGACTCAACGGTGCTTCCAGCCCTAGCGTACACGTCAAGAACCTGGTCGCTGCGCAAGCAGGATGAAAGATCACTTAGCGTTATTGCACGCGCAGTCGAATGAACGATGCTTGGAATATCTCGTTTCACACAAGTAAGGGAAGATAACCGAAGCTCCGACTTGCTTCAACGATCACAATTCATAGATTCTGTTTACACCAAGCAGTTGATGATTAGGTGGGAAGAACACGTAGTGCGTATGAATGACAACCGATGGACAAGAGCCGTTAGTGAGTGGATTCCTTGTTATGTAAGAAATACTGCGGAAAGACCACCGACCCGATGGTCAGAGTTTTTCACAAAGAGCCTTAGAGAAATATATGATACTCGACAAGTCCCTAGAGCGAGCAAAATCCAGTGGGCTACTCTTGCACGCGAGAGGGTAAAATGGAAGATTTACTGGCGTCTGCTCGAGTCACTCGAAGATCATCGGAACAATAGGTGATGCAGGTGATAGTTGATTGGGTGCGTTTCTCGCCAGTACAATGACTCACGGTGGCTCACCAATGTGTCAAGTCAGTGCTACTATCATCGTAGACAAGTTGGGCTCCAATTTGCCGACCACGGAGGTACGGAAGGCTGGCTGAGACCAAGACACGGGATCGACCCTATATTTATTGCAGGGCGTCTCTGAACACTGAGCTCTGATACGCACATCTGAGGTTATTTAAANATGACTCACGGTGGCTCACCAATGTGTCAAGTCAGTGCTACTATCATCGTAGACAAGTTGGGCTCCAATTTGCCGACCACGGAGGTACGGAAGGCTGGCTGAGACCAAGACACGGGTTCGACCCTATATTTATTGCAGGGCGTCTCTGAACACTGAGCTCTGATACGCACATCTGAGGTTATTTAAACTTTTTCATCTATCCATACTTACCATTTAATTCATTCACCTTATTATCGCTCATTCATCGTTCGCAAACTCGCCAGATTGGCGTTTCGATCAGGCCTTCACAAAGGACCTTCTCTTCACCGCGGATTTCGTTGGATGCTGGTCAAAATGATTGCCTCTGGAATGCAGATAGCTCTGCCATTTTTAAAATTACACAACTAAAAGTTACATGTACATTTGAATGAAGGATGGCACAGATAAGTCATCTACCGATTTGGCGAACAAAGATGGAGGAAAGTCTTATTTGACTCGTGAGGAGACATTTCAAGGGTCATGAATGTATTATTGTTTGCATCGATGGCTATAGCGCTTGACGCACAAATAAAATTTACCCGTTAGTTGCTTCCTTATTTTTTCCGTTATGTTGTTTTATATCCATAAACTCGGGCTCTCCATTATTTTTTTCCAATTCATACAGTTGGACTTTTGTTTACAATAAACACACAAGTAGGCGCGTCATCGGTGCTTTTAAATCGGTGAGTGGCGTTTTACCTGATGTCTAGGTTTCCGTTAGGATTGCAGCTGTGATTCGTGATACTGGTTTATTTGGCGTTTTCAAACAGAAATGTCAAAGTCTTTGTTGGAACGATCTTACTAGTGAGATAATCCCGCTATGCGTATGCATAGCACGTCGAAACTGTGGAAGACCACTTAGCGACGGAGGTCCGTTAGTAACAAGCGCGTGGAATTTACAACACATGTGAACAAGTAAACTCCAGCACCATGTTTCCAATGCTACATGTAGCCTTATCGTTATCAATTTGAAGTAGTACGTGGAAAAACGCAGTGATATCAACCATGGTGTGGCTCTCATTTTGAATTCTGGCAAGCTGAGAAGCGGTGCCGCGATGGACCACTTCGCCTTCCAACAGTAGCCGAAACCCGAAGCAGTGCCGGTGACTTTTATCTTGCATGTTGCAAATTAGTTATTTATAACAGGTGACGTATCCGGCGGATTTAGTCTTCTTCAGAGCAGTCAACTTAACCTTCCCAGGCTCGTGGGCGCGGGGGTGTTGATCGTGCTTCACTTTTTGCCGTTGTCGTTCGTCATAGAGTAGCTGCTTGCTATCAGACTCTCGGTCAGAAACTCTAGTAGCATTCCACCAGCGAAATCGATCTTAGAGCAAATATAAATCATAACCATGGAGACGGAAATGCGCAAGTCACTTACGACTACGATTGAAGATGTAAGGTGACCACCAGGTATTATTCCTTTATTAGAAATCGATATACACTCAATTATGCTGCACGATAAGGGCTATCTAGAAAACTAACTGATTGATCATCATAAAAGAAGATGCTATATGAAGGCGATGATATCAATCTTCCGCCTTGAATCTGGTTTCTCCGATAGAGTATAGAAGACGGGAGCACTCTCCGTCCGTTTCTCCTCAGTGATGTGGTCTTTCTTTTGTCGGATGTCCACGGGGTGTAGTTGACTTAAATTGTAGTCTTATGAAAATTTGGTGGCGTCGAAACAGTATTTTGTATGTTTTCGACTTCCATTTGGGTAGTCATCGATCATAAGCTGCACGGTTTCTGGGTGCCTGGGTACCGGCTACTATTCCTGTGGTATTCGCAATTGAAGCGGCGTTATCAGTAACGAATTATGAATAATTACCCACGGATTTCTTACTCATGCTAATTAGTTCTTCACAACGTGTGCCCATAGATTCCATATGAATCCATTACGACACGGTGCTCACTATTTGTGTTTAATTTTTCAATTCAAGTTGCTTTCGTATGCAGTACTACACGCCTGTTCATTGGCCGCACCTTATATTTTGCACTCGCTCCTCAACAGCAACGATTTCTCT